CTCCCAGAATTCCCCAGCCAGCTTTGCTTTGCTGGCTGGGGAATTCTGGGAGTTGAAGTCCATGCATCTTAAAGTTGCCAAGGTTGAGAAACACAGCTCTGAGGTTATATTGTGGCTCCCTCCTTTCTCCATTCTCCCCTTTCTAATCATCAGATCCGCAAATCACAACTTTCCCCCCCCATTTTCAGCAAAAAGTCCATCCAGACTTTCCAGTTGCCCACAAATGCATTTATTACTTTAGGCCGGTGTTTCTCAACCTCGGCGACGGGGAGCTGTGTGGACTCCGACTCCCAGAGTTCTCAGCCAAGACGCTGCAAGAGAATTCTGGGAGTTGAAGTCCACCAGGGGGTTGGGGACCTTCTGCTGTAAATTCCTGAGATTTCCAACACCTAGAACAGCGGTTTTTAAACTGTTTCGCCCAAGTACACCTTTTCCTGGTCTTGAATAAAGTCATGACCCCCCCCATAAAAAAAAAATTTAAAAAAAGACTCGTTTTACGCAAGGATCTTGGCAGCGGGACTCCCAGAGGGGATCCTTTGCTTGCAAACCAGCAATTACGGATTGCTCTATTAGCCCACGATAAGCCCAAGTTAGCCCCCGTTGAAGATCTACTGTTCTACTCTGACTGCCGTGACCGTTTGTCCTGTATTAAAAAGGACAGCCCTGTATTTCAGAAAGTTGTCCTCTATAAGAATATGAATTTTTGTTCCGTTTTTCTTGGTTTTGCTCTTGAGTTTTCCTTCGTAAAACCAAGTGATAAGCGTAGACAATTACTTTTCTCCTTAAGAACTTCGTTCACGTTTGCCCCGTTTTCGGGGCTGTCCTTTGTTTTTTCCAAGAAAAATGCTTCCATCGGCCTCCTGGATTTTTTCCTCTTTCTTTTACTCTGTGTAAATGTGGTTTTATAAATTTTAACTGTATATTTATATTTATGTATTGTTTTAATATGCTGTAAGCCACCCAGAGTTCCCCATTGGGGGGAGATGGGCGGGGATAAGTTTGATTGATAAATAGATAGGTAGGTAGGTAGGTAGATAGACAGGTAGATAGGTAGGTAGATAGGTAGGTAGGTAGATAGATAGGTAGATAGGTAGGTAGATAGATAGATAGGTAGGTAGATAGGTAGGTAGATAGGTAGGTAGATAGATGGGTAGATAGATAGACGGGTAGGTAGATAGACAGGTAGATAGGTAGGTAGATAGGTAGGTAGATAGGTAGATAGATAGGTAGGTAGGTAGGTAGGTAGGTAGATAGGTAGGTAGATAGATGGGTAGGTAGGTAGGTAGGTAGGTAGGTAGGTAGATAGGTAGGTAGATAGATGGGTAGGTAGGTA